ATGTTTAATGGTTATTAATGTTTTGTTGTTCTTTCTATTTGTCACATGTTTAATTTGAATTGTATGTAAATAAAGATTAGGTGTATTTACTCTGCTTTTGTTTTATATAATTAAACATCCCCTCTACAAAGTTAGTAGCCAGTGCCTTCCGGTCAATTAAAAATGTATACACACAACGTAGGGATTCCTTATGACGATCACATATTTTTGGCCACAACTACGTTTACTTATTTTTTGTCGAAACTAGGGTTGTTATACTACAGTCCTAATCATTTTTTTGTTTGAGCAGTATTTTCTGAGGTAGAGAGGGGGTTTAAAACTTTTTGAAAACCCTGTATAATAGTTTATTATTATCTGTTCCAATGAATTGAATTTGAAGATCACTGACTTTAAGATATTTCAACGTAAATGATCCAAGGAATACGGCCCGTAATTCATGACATTCATACAATAATTATTGTAAAAACCATGCCCATAGAATAAACATCTAAAAATGCATTTCTGATGGACATTTGGATGTCGATAAAATATTCTGAGACGAAAGTGTACCTTAATGTTTCATATATTTTTTTATATAGATCAATGTATTACGTGGGGGTAACACCTTTCAATAAACCAATTCTTATCGATATACGTTATACAACAGGTAGCATTTAGCGTGTTGCATACAGCATGTGACAAATGGCGTACGCTTTATGTTGTTTCCGTCGAGTGATGTTGTCTAAATGCTACATCTATGGAACTGATGGAACATAACGAATGAAGAAAATCAGTACGTAAAGATTTACACGATATTCAGTAGAAATAGGATTTCTCAGAAAACATTGCAATAAGAAAAAAACTGAATATACAATTATAATACCTTTAAAACAACTTTTCTATTAAATGTTATTTCTATTACATATTAATAAAAGGAAAATTAAATGAAATGATGGAAGGGACGGGCGATATTGAGCGCGAAGTAGCCTATTTTAGAGAAACACATTTTGTCGAACTTATTCTAGCCAATTTTTCATTGTCAAATTACTTCGAATGCGACTAAATGCCATATAACTACATGTCCACACGGTGCGGATATGGCATAGTGGCGCATATTTTTAAATATGCATGACAGATGCTCAATTCGATTCAGTTTAACTATCGTTTCCCAATAAATTATCGTGCCGTATAGTGTGAAGGGGCGGTAAATAGATCTATATGTCCATAATATAAGACCGTCTTTACGATTATCGTTCGCCTGCCTAACGCTCATCCGCTGTTCAGTTTAGCTGAGGCCCTAGTCCTGATTCTTGATTCAGATGAGATGTAAGCTCTCTATGCGCTCTACCTAAATGCTGCGCATTTTAAAGTTAAATTACTGGGGTACTCAACGACATATTTTTGTAACGGATTCCGAAAAGGCTGACTGACATTTATGTTGTGTCGATACAAATTATCAAGATGAATATTTCCCATGGAGCGCATATGATTAGTGCTTGAAATCAAAATCTACGTCCGTATCCTAAATTTAAAAATGATCTCTCACATTTTCTTTTATATACTAGAGTAAAATGTTTTACTATATTAACACTTGTTGCGACAATTTTGGCAGTTAATGCTTTTGGTCATTACATTGACCTACATTTATATTTCTGAGAGTTTAATTTCAAGACAATTTCCTAAGAGGAAATCTTACAAGGAGTGTAGGTGCCTCCAATGCATCTGATTGGATGCAAGATAAAGAGATCGTCAGATTTCGATTTGTAGCAGCTACTACCGTCCTACAGAATTTTGTTACTCTCAGACTTCATTAATTTGAAGCAACTTTCCTATTAAATATTATTTCTATTATATCATATTTAGAAGTGACGTTATTAACAGATAGACACTGAAATAATATATTTTCAAGAAAACTGTTTATTTTAGTTTGTGGTAAAATTGATCCAGTCACTCTTTTCAGACCTTAACAGGCGTTTATTTAAACGTACTAGTCCTGAATCTCCTTTACCAATCACAATGTAGCACTTTGTGCGGTAAAGGGAATCTGACCAGGACAATTGAAATCGATATATTATATCTTTCTACATTTTAAATGACAAAGTATTAAAAGTATCATTTTAACTTCTACATTTTGGATCTCGCCGCTGTGATGGAAGCTTCTTTATGTCGAATATATCCCCCGCAAACTGGCGCGAGCTAATATTTCTGTCTACGTCATTACTTTATTCCGGTGCAGTGTTACCCTTTGTAAGAGATAGCAGACTTATATTCTACCCTTGACCGACAAGTATTACGCCGTATTCGGAAACGAAAGAGCGGAAGTACAAAGAAGGTAGCGGAAGAGCAGATGAGGGATCCTCAGATCGATAAGACCCTAGAATCTCGCCATATTAGTTGCTAGATAATGCTTTGCATTCCCTACACTTTTGGATTTAAATGAATCTGAAGATAATGTGCACATCCATTTAAAAATTATGTCTTTATACAAATCGTGATTTATTTGAAAGAACGATGAATATAAAAAAATTATCCATATTACTCTTGAAGCAAATACAATTTCTTGAATAAATATTTTCTTGATTTTAGAAAATGTACTTTCAAGCTTGTGTATACACGTTCATTAGGTACTACACTTTAACAAATAAATGATATCGATATTATTTGTATTTATGTTTATGTAATTTTCTAGTATTATTATTATTATTATGCACATGTATGTTTCTGCTGAAATAAAAATGTTTTATATAAATAACTCTGTGCCAAAATAATTAGTCATGAATTGATTTTCTCCTCGTTTTGTGTAACTACTCAGAAATATTTTACTCTCTGATTTTACTGTAAAAGCTGTAACAAGGTAATGTTTAAAAATCACTTTTCACATAACAAAAAAAAAAGAATTGCATAACGTCAATAAACAAAGATAGTTCACGAATATTATATGCTTATTATAAAAAACTAATCATGAATTATAATTTATAATTTAAAAATTCCGCGTAAAGTAGAATTAAATTTCTTAGTATCTTAGTATATTACGCGATCTTTACTATAGATAACGTTACCGGACAGAGAATTTGCCTAAAATTTTGTGCTATCAACAAAAATTCTTGTACCGAATCGTGGAAAATGTTGGGGAAGAGATACGATAATTCAGTTTTATCGAAAACATAAGCATATGAATGATACAAAACATTAGAACATGATCGAGGAGTGGTTGATGATTTGCCACGTTCTGGTCATCCTCCAAAGTCTTCTTCTGAGGAAACATCGATAAAGTGAAGGAAATGGTGCTTGCAAAGCGTCATTATAGTTTGAGACAGCTGGCATATGAACAAAACATCTCGCGAATCAGTTTACACCATTTTAGTTGATGTTTTGGGTTTGAAACGCGTCACAGCACTGTTGGTTCCAAAAGAACAGAACTTTATTCAAAAAGAGCATAGCAAGCATGTTGCTGAAGACATGTTTGAACGAACTAATTAGGATTTTACATTCATGCTATGCATCATAATTGGCCACGAGACATGGGTTTACGAGTATGACAAGTCAACAAGCGACGGAATGGCGTTTTTCTAATGAGCCGAAATTAAAAAAAGCCACGTCAACGTCGACAAAAATCAAAGTTAATGATGTTTGTTTTATTTTACTACCGTGGTGTTGTCTACACAGAATTCCTTCTGGATGGAGAAACAGTCAAAAAAGAATATTATAAGGGCTTTATGAAAAAGTCTGAGAGAGAGTATTTAACGCGAAATACCAGATTTATGGAATGATAATTGTTGGATTGGGTATCACGATAATGTACCATGTACAAAGCGATAATTGTCAATGAATTTTTGACCAAAAACTCGTCAGTTATGCCTAATGCTGACTTTTCCTCTTTCTCAAACTCAAATTACCACTTCGTGTAAAACGTTTCGAGTAGACAGAAGCCATTAAACAAAAATCGCTGAAGGAGTTGAAGTCCATACCGGAATATGCATTTAAAAAGTGCTTTGACGACTGGGTTGTTCGTTGAAAATCATGTATGGCTCCTATTTTGAAGAAGACAAAATAAATGTTGGTGATTAATTGATTATATTGTGTTTTATTGATACATTCCGGATACTTTTTTGACATAACGTTTAGCTATAAATAATAAAATTCTGTTAAAATAAATGGTCGCTCAGTGGCTGAGCGGTTTGAGGCATCAGTACTTAAATCTATGAATTATCTCTCGCTTTTTCTGTGGTATGGTAGGGTGCAGTTACGACGTTGGGTTGGGTGAATGTGAAAGATTGATACCGGTCGGTGTTTGACCATCCCCCTAATTAATAAGGGATTCCCTCATTCCAGCACTGATTCTCTTATTCCTGCACTGAACGGAGGTTAGGGTTTACTGACATAATAGAAGACCAGGGCGGATCTGTCGAAATATCCCACAAATTTCATTAAAATCGATTCATCCATGTCATATATGTAATTTTTTAGAAATGTTTCTTGTGAAAATTAATTTATTAAATATACAATGTATAATAATAATATTTTTTCGTTATAGACTTGGTTTTAAATTTATAGTTTCGTTTTATTTTGAAGAAGGCTTTGAAAATCCCTGGAGATAAAAAATACCCAATAACTGAACCTTTAGTTTATACACAACGCTCTCTAGCATTTTGGATATAAGAAGCAAAATACTAATAGGTCGAAATTGATTAATTTGGGTAGGTTGTTACCGCTGTAAATTCATCAGCAATATTTTATGTTTAATGTAAATTATAAGAATAAGTTCTAAGTTCTTTATGTTCCGCCTAGGCTTGATCTGTTACACTATTATTATTTTTAATTTTGAAATAACCTTATTTCGTAATTTCATCATAAGTTAAGATTTTCAGTAAGCCAAGGGACTTTAGTAAATCGAGACATCCTAACTGGATTATATACGGTTACATTTTAAATGCTTAGTCATTGTTAATATTTTTCATTCTTCATTTCAAGTCACACATTACTTTTGACAAGACGGGGGTGATTTGAAACATAAATCTTACCTTTAATCTGATCCACAGGAGTATCTGATCGGAAAAGCGCGGTCTCGTGGCGCGGCCCCACGCTGAAGAACACTTGCACCGTTGTGGGGAGGTCCATGAGAGACGTGGGAACCGACTCATGGCTCAAGCGGCCCCCATGAACTCCCCCTGTTCCCCTTCACCGCCTCGAGGTTCCATCGTTTCGAGTCGCTGATACCTATGACGTTCCTGAAAAAGATGATTTATGTCACAGAAATGCAGCCAAGAAGAAAAAAACACGATTTAATGGTATCCATCGGCAATTTATAATTTGGTACGATGACAACTGGGAAATATTGATTCTGAGAAATGTTTATCTCACTGGGTCCTTTGAAGAAGAGAAACCGAAAATTGAGTGAGGTAAATTGTATATGAGTATTTACAACCAGCATGTGCAAATATATTCGTAGCTTATACAGGGTACTTCAATTAATACTTCCCATTTGGAAAATATCGGAATTAAAAAAAGAACAAAACACCCTGAGACGCGTCGATTTTCTTTTCAAGGGGAACACGTGATGTCTTGGAAGCTACCCCTTAGGCAGGGGAGTAAAATACCCTTCAAATTTAAATGGCACCCTATCTTGAGTGACACTTTATTTTAAAGGTTTTTCAATTCTGCTCACGACGACACGCGACTTTTTAAATTTTGGTTTGGATATGACAATAAAATCTTAACTTAACCCTTAATGAATATCCTTAACCTTATCTTAACACTTAAAGAATAATATAAAATCTCAATGAATTAAATAATGTTATTTTATTAAATGTTCCAATTGGTTTCCCTCCAATTCCATACAATAATAAAATCTTCTCCCACTTCCGAACGAATATATCGATGCATTTTAGGCGTTATCTGACGACATTCTTCAACAATTTGCCGAAGAAGTTCCTCAAGCGAGTTCGGTCGTGTTGCATAAATATTCGATTTTAAGTGTTTCCATAGAAAAAAGTCTAAGGGCATTAGATCTGGCTATCTGGGGGGCCACTTAATTGAACCTCTGCGTCCTACCCAGTGATTTGGAAAGTTATAATTAAGAAAATCACGCACAGCTACGGCATAATGTGGTGGAGCACGATCCTACTGAAACCACACATTCTTTTCTGGCAAAGCGTTGTCATTTTCCAATACTTCCACAATCATCGGGTAGATATTCGTTTTCAGTAGATTCAGATAGGTACATATTTCCACTTAGATTTCCCGATAGGAAGAAAGGCCCCATGAGGTGGTCCTCCACTATGCCCGCCCAAATATTGAATTTCCTCGGATGCTGCGTAAGAGTTTCATGAAAAACGCGTGGATTTTGTGGATGTTCATCACTTCAGTAGCGGCAATTATGACAGTTGACTCGACCATCCAGTTGAAACCTCCATTCATCAGAAAAATGTATCTTCCTTGAAAACTAAATCGACGTGTCTGAGGTTTTTTTTTAATTCCAATATTTTCCAGGTGGGAAATTTTAATTGGAACACCCTGTATATTTAAATCTGAATAAACCATACAAACAAAAAATGTGAAAATCGCAGAAATGTAGGTATCAGTTTCAGAAGAAAAGGCGTAATAACTAAACTTTTTCATATTTTCCTAGGTAAGAACTAGTACATATTTTGATAAGTTACTTTAACATTGTTAAATAATGGTAATATCTGAAAAATACTATTGATTAATCCTTTCTAGAATTTGCTGACAACATTAATCATTTTTACAAAAAGCTTTCCTATAGTTTAAAATAAATAAAATTAATTTGAAATTAAGTCAGCTTAAATGTTTATTTTTATTAGTAGAAAAATAATA